ACAAAGCACTAAATGTCTGTTCCCTCGGGAAATAGCTATAGTTAGTTCACGAATTTCGGGAAAACAAAACTAACTATTTCCCTTGGGAGTTATACATTAAGGCATGATACAGTAGTCCCCCAGGCATAATATACTGTATAACAAGAAAATTCATTCTGTCCACTATCATTAAGCTGAGAGCTGGCAAATTTTTGCTTGTGTTCCAGTTGTAGATGTCTCAGTATCAAACACATGCAAGTGACAATAAACTTGTATCTTCTTGCTTCATCATAGGAAATACAGTAGCTTGGATTGGCGGTCTTCAGACACAGAACTTGGGAACTAGTTTTCCGCAACTTTGATGTTGATCTGAGTACACGTCAAAATATTACTAATAAGCATGATGCGCCAATTTCTATGTCCTATACACAAACTCCATATTCTCGGTATCCCTCCTCTCTTATTGAATTGGTCCGCCAATTTCCTGCGAAACCGTCAGCAGAGAGTCATAGTTTGCTCATCATCATCCACTTGGTCGATAGTTTGCACTGGCGTGCCACAGGGAACAAAACTAGGTCCTTTATTTTTCTTGGTCATGGTCAACCTGTTCACCGAGCTCCCACTATATCAATAGAGAGTTTTAGCTTGACGTTTACGGCTAACGTCAAACCGCTAACGAAGTTTTTGATTTTACAAGTCTATTATAACAGCTTTTACACCAGTTTTGAAATATAAACAATTATTAAATTTGTGCTCTTTAGCAATGATTTAAAAGAAAGCAAATTAACCACTAGTCACGTATTCGCGAAAGCAGTAAATTATGATTTGGCGTTTGAAGTTTACGTTTGGCGTATAAATTTCATGCTTTAACGACTATACAAGCCCTCATAGCAGTTCAAGCATGAAATTTATACGCCAAACGTAAACTTCAAACGCCAAATCATAATTTACTGCTTTCGCGAATACGTGTCTAGTGGTTAATTTGCTTTCTTTTAAATCATTGCTAAAGAGCACAAATTTAATAATTGTTTATATTTCAAAACTGGTGTAAAAGCTGTTATAATAGACTTGTAAAATCAAAAACTTTGTTAGCGGTTTGACGTTTGCAGTAAACGTCAAGCTAAAACTCTCTAATAGAGAGGTTAAGATACCCCGGTTTCGGTGTACGGGTACGAGTAGTGTCATCTTGTTTTACTGATGTCTGTAATTTGATCATACTTTTTCAGCTTTCTTGCAATAGACAATGATATAATGCGAAAAATGTGCACCTTAATTACGAGTAAAGGTACAGACATCGATGAAAATGTTGCTAACCAAAATCATGTTACTCGTACCCGTTCACCGAAACCGGGGTATCTTAACCTCTCTATTGCATCCATGACTGCACGACCTACGAAGTCATACCCTAATGTGCTATTACATCGAATATATCTGCTCAAAGGCCAGTACGCTTCTATATCATAGATATCTTAGATACACTAGAAAGTGCATCTAATTATTCTGCAATTCAAAAATTGAAGCCGTGATTGCAGTCTCAGGATATATTCCCATGAAATGAGAAGATTCGTATGTTATCTATATCTTAAAGAGGGAACTTAAACATTAAGTTAACCAATTCCAAATACATTTTCAAACTATTCGAATAATGAAAGTTATTGTTGTTTTTTAATCGTTTATTAGCGAGTGGGAACTACCAACATGGCCGCCATCTATTCAAATGGGGGTAACCGCTGGAAAATTCTTGGCTTTAATTTTACTAATCTGTGGTCTATTTGCGCTAAGATCTATAAAACGAGCCGGTGTCTTCCCATGCGATCTTCAGTCTGTATTTTGTTACTTTGTTCGACCATTACTTGAGTATGCCTGCTCTGTCTGGCACTTCTCATTGACAGCAAAACTAAGCGATAACGTCAAGGACATACAACGTCGTGCGGTGAGAATAATCTACCCACACTTGACGTATAGAGGGCTGCTAGAATCGAATTTACTTACCCTGTCTGACAGAAGAGTCTCTATATGCAGGTTGTTTTACAAAAACACTTTGGCGTCTGATGATAAACTAAGGGACTTAATCTCTGAAGCCGTTGTTGAATATAATCATCTCAGACGCCCTCGCAAACTTCCACTGTTCAAGTGTAGAACCAAACGTTTCATTAACAGTGTTTTACCAACATGTGTCAAAAAGTGAGACAATTGTCCTTGAATCTGATTCATTTTAAATATTAGAGTTCCAATATTTCACATACTTGTAACTTGAGTTTTTCAATTTGCTATTGCTAGTATTCAGGTTTTTAATGAACCATTACCATTACCTATAAAAGATGGTAACTGAAAAACCCGTGAATATCAAATGCTATTCGAATTTCTATTGAGAAAAACACAAGCTCTTTAATTAAATCCCATTTTTTGAGTAAAGACCCTAAAAAAGTGAAATATTAATAACTTAGTGACCGAGAGTGAGGGCGGTACGGGACAATATCCAGCCGAGGTCTTGTTCCGAGGTTTGACGTTAGTAAGGTTGACGTTAGTAAGTTTTTTATTGTATGGCATTGTACGTTTGTAAAAAATGGGGAAAAGGGTCACGCGAGGGCAAAGTACAAAGTTCGAAACATTTGCAAAAAAGAACAATTGTAAAAAATGTTCTCAAGCTTGGTTAGTAAATTCTACAGCACTTTTTATATAGAATACTAACACAGTTTGGATAGTATTTCAAGAAAAATACGAGGTATTTCATCATTTAATCAAAGACAAAACATTTATTTGTTAACAAATGTGAAAACAATAAAATTAATAAACAATATGGACAAGTACGTTTTTAGTTCGCTTCATCTCATAAATATGTCTCTTTTTATCGAACAAAAACAGAAATTTTCAAGGAAAAAATATAAATCTGTGGCTATTTTAGTTGTATTTTTTATTTAGGAAATTGTCAAATTCCTCGGCTATCTGCAAATAAAATTTGCAGCTCTTCACAAAGTCAGAACACAGCTATTCCTGACTGCTTTAATAGTTATATAAACACTTGTAAAATTTACCTTGTAATTTCGACTTTCGCTAACAAAAACATATTGAGAAAGTTCTTTAACCAAAGAAGGTGCTCCTTTTCTTTAGTTTAGGTTTATTTTTCTTCGTTTTGAATAGTTTTGAAAGACTTTTAGACACTTTTGCCGTTTGAAACTCGGTTCTTGTCGCAGAGCAATAAAAATTGAGTATTGCCCTTGAGCAATACGGGAAAATCCTGCCTCGTCAGCAGCCAATCAAACTGCGCGATTCATCAAAACAAATGCTTGCCATATAATTAATAATATCCCATATTAACAAATTGAATAGGATTAAAGAATTGGCAAAAATTCCACAATATATTATATAAAATCTTACTATAGATATTCTATACAGATTATTTGCCTTAAATTCATTCATCGTTGGTACAATAGGAAATTTCCTTGAAAATTTGATAGCCTATTTCAGTATACTAGTGATGTACAGAACCATAAAAAAATGTAATTAAAACACACCGTGGTAAACAGAAGACTTTGTTTCCTGAAAATCTTAAAGACCTAAATCTTTTGCTTTTCTCCTAGTCAGTTATAAAGCATAAAACCAATTAAAAACTACTTAAAACTATATCATCATGTAAAACTCGATAAGTCGTTTAATTAACTTCCTTTTGTATGGTTCTGCTAAAGTCGTTATACTTCATCTCTAATTATGCTTAAATATTAAAAGGCAGGTAACTAAGTAGAAAACCTCACGGTTAATTTATAGTTACCAGGTCCAAATATTCGTTAAATCAAATATCAACTACATATTATTCAACACCGATCCTAATATTATAAGCATCATTATTTTATTTGAATACTGATCTATACCAGATACAATATTACTGTTATATTATATAATTTAGATTGTATTTTTGTATTTTAAAAAACAAACCCGAAATATATGTATTCCTATAAGATATTCGTTAACTGATTCGATAATTTGCAATGGGTAAAATGATGCTTCAGTTAAGCGTTAATTACATCTTCTTTTCTTTTTGTAATTTGGCAGTGGTCTTTTTCTTCTCAATTTTAATGGTATTGTATATAGCTTGTGCAATATTCTCATGGTTCAATATTTCGTCTTCTCAGTGCATCTTTAATATAGCCATACACATGCAATATTGACACGCTTCGTTGGTAAGGATTCAACTACCCGAAAAATATAAGGAGAATTTCGACGTTTCAAGCAAAAGTCCCTCTCGTCTAGAGTTATACTTGGCTAGTAACTCCAGGTGAAGGGCCTTCGCTCGAAACGTCAAAATTCTCCTTATATTTTTCAGGTAGGTGCATGCATCGCAACCAACGAAAGCGTGTTTATATTATTGGCACTACCTACGCTGATGCAGACAGTTCAAGATTATATCCAATATTGACCAGTCCGATTCCACATGCGACACGAAAGTCACTGCTTTCACTGTCCCCATAATATATTGCCTTTGGCTTTTTTGTACCACTGATAAGAGTATTTAGTGATTCATTCCTTTGCAAGTTTTCACTGACACTGTTGTTTCCATGCTACAGTAGCTCCTTGTACAGTATTCATTAAATAGATCTGTTAACACTTTCTTACGTTTTTCACCATATAGATTTAAGACATGTAATTGATAGAAACTGCAAGTTAATAATTTTTCACTTGACTAGGGAAAAGGCATAAAAAACTGTTAAGGTGCAAAACACGTTGTTTCCACTATAGAATATATTGATCAGCTACCTAACTATAGTCTCATATTCATATATAATATATAATAGAATAGAATATTATACTAATGTATGATATAATATTTTCCAACCTTTACAACAAAGTAGGCATTTGATAAGCCTTTCTTCCGCGTGTCTATGTCAACAACTCTCGACCCAAGCTACAAATTTATTAAATTATTAGGAAAATAATTTGTCATAATTTTCTTACTACAGTACCTTATTAAACAAACAACAATACAAACATACAACAAAGTGCTAGTTAAATTGAACTATATTTACCTGTTGTTCTCGTGAATTCCTTTCCCCGATTTCTGTTTTTTCAACGCCACTCGCAGATGGGCCCGATGTGTTTTCGTCACTTTCGTACGTCAATTTCCTATTTGACTTGCAAGTTCCTTTACTATTTCCCATTGCTGTAACCTTTTCTGAACTATTCTTACATTTTATTGAATTTATAAACTTTCCGTTCTTACTTTTAAAAGCATGTGACTCGTTAACAGACTTAATTTCGCTATTAACTCGGCCATATCGGTTTTTGCTTGGCACTTTCCCGCAAGTTGTCACGCAAGGCACCAAGATCTCGCTGGACATTTATACTGTACGCTTCTGCGCGCACGGGAATCGAGGAATCATGTATCTAGCCAGCTTATAAGGTGAATTTGATTGCTAATTTCACAGACTGCAAGCCAAAGTAGCCATTTCTGACTATAAAGACTCAAAATTTTCGCTGAAAATTTTCTCGCTCGGCGCCAACCATGGTGCCTCGTGGGAGTCGGGCCCCTTGGTTTATTAAGCTTCCTACACCCTGACTGACCAAGTTTTGGTATTTACATAAACATACCATGCTTAGTACTTAACTGAAGATTCAGTCTATCTACAGCATAATGTAATGCTGTATAGCCAAAAATCTGTTTCAGAAAATGTTCTTAAATACAAAAATTTTCTGGGGGAGAATACCCCCCACTATTACATACGATACCACACCAGACTTTTTGTTACCAACAACGGACCACAATCTGTCATCGTTCCACACTCACTATAGTATATGATCCCTTTTTGGAAATGCCCACCCCCCTCCCCACGGACGAATTCTTAAAAAATGCCCTGGCGTAGCGAAGCAACCACCACAAAACGTGTGGGGATCAAATTCCCTACATAACTCAAGTTTAATTAATGACTCGACGTGACTTGAGTGGGACCATTGATTTGACTCGACTCGACAGTGGAGTGCTTGAGTCGAGTCGATCAGAAAGTGAAATAACTCGACTTTCGACCCCACTTTTAAGCGACTCGTCTTAACTTGTGAAGCTGACTCGCGCTACAACATTGCGTGTGAGAGGACCACGGAGTCATCAGGATTCGTACTGTCAAGTGTCATCCTCGATAAATAAAGTCTCTTATCTTATCTCATCTTATCTTGTGTCAGTAAAATACGGTCCAGTTAACAAACGAGAATATATATTGCTTATGATGGATGTGATAGTCATTGCATTGAACATACAGTATATGTCGTTGTTAAGTAGAAAGTATGGTAGCCAAGTTAGCGCTCTTAATTTATTACAACATATGGTAGCTATTACCGTTTTCCTCTCTTGCATGACCTACGACTTGTATGCGGCTTTCTGGTCCTAGTTCTCTCGTTGTCCCAAACAAGTGATCAAACGTTTCAGTCATTGGATTCCACTGTGCGATAGCAGATATTTCGGGGTTTTTCTTGTACAAGAACAAGGCAGCTTCGTGTACTATATTGTCGTCTTCCATGATGGCGATCACCTAAATTAGACAATTTAAGAATATATATATAGATATTTTCCGTGTTTTCCATCGAGTATGGAAAACAGTGGCAACGACTACACTTTCAACCAGCGTGGAGGACAAAATAAAAAGATCGAAGTCTCCCCATCACTTATCCCTCAAAACATTCCTGGTGTGAACTGGCGAAACGGAAGACCCTATGCAAGTTTGAAGAACAGAAAATCGCCGTGCCATTTTGCAAATTGCACAATGTTCAACCTCGTTCCCAGGGCTTTTCTCTTTTTGTCATTGGGAAGGCGGGAAAAGGCCCTGGCACCGGCCGGTCTTCTATGTATTCTGATTGGTCAATGACAGCTACATTATTATGCAAATAATGCAATCTTGGATTAATTTATTCAAACTTTGGGATTAATTAATATTTCCAGCAAGGAGCGTCCATTATTAATACTTTGTCTGTCTAAGCGTCCATTATTAATACTTTGTCTGTCTGTGGCAAAATGGTTAAATTCGATAAGATTTATACACAATTTGTCGAACGTTAGTATTATTGTTTGTTTTAAACTGTGAGAGAAGATTAATTGTGTACTAGAACACACCTCTGAGGTTCTGGCCGAGTATTTAGGGCAAAATGTGCCTTCATATTTGGCTTCGTATAGCGTTTATAATGTTTATATTTATAAAACTAAAGCCTGGGTTTATAAACTGAAACATGACCTTTAGTTTTTGATATTCTTCATAGTCGAGTTTAAATTGGCCTAATTTATAGTTAGTTACCACTAGAAATGCGACGATATTTTGTTATATCATATCTGCAACAGTGTTTACAACTTTTGAATAATATGTGATTTGGTTTTGTTTCAGATACTATTACATGTTGCCTCATTTTACCATAAATTGTGTTAAAAAAGTGATTTGCTCATTTGGCTGATGTTACAGTTTTCTGATGTGTTTTGTTAGGATGATATCAGAACAATTTCAATATGAAAGTGCAGGTGTCTTTAGACATGAGCCATAATGTATATATCAAAATACTGATAAAATCCGTTTCCAGCTTGATTGTATATCCATTGTTGCAGACAAAGTTGTGCAATGGTGGGCTTATGTCACATACTCGTATGTAATTCCATGTGCCTGCATGTACTTTGATGCCTCAATAGATGCTTCGAATGTGTAATAAAGGGCTGTTCGCAGGAGTTGGGCTGTCTGGCCTTAAATTGCATTGTTTTTATGATATTTTAAGATTGTATTCATATGGCTGGACCATCTTGCCATTGCCACAATGTCTGATGTTCAAACAGGCTTTAAAATCAGGTTACAATGCATACTTGAAAATATGCAACAATTTCACTGCTAATAATATTCCAGAAAATCCTGCCTCTTGGGCAGATCTGGACTGATTTGTCAAAGGGGTTGGAGGTTTTCTACTTGTGATCGGGCAAGGGGAGCTAGCCAAGGGAGCTGGGTCAGAGTCAAACTCATGTGAACAGCTTCTAAGTCCTAATTATATTGACAAATTATGTACACTTTGGGATGGCAATGCAATTTGTAAAATATTCCACATTTTATTTAATAAAATTTAATTATATACATTGTTTTTGTTGCTTATTTGGACAGTATATATATTACACCTTTGGACCCTGTAAATAAACACCTTTGGAGGGTGTACCCATTCTAAGCCAAAGACATTTAAGAACAATTATCGAGGTATTTGCATGATAAAATATATTTAAAACCGTTCTCCATATACATGTAATGCATGCATGGTTCAATTCTTGCTTTTACCAAGTAAACCCAGGGATTTTCAATGTCCCCCTTCTCCCATAGAATTCACTTGAAGTGACTGGGGCAAGTTAGCTATAAGTATAGGTAGTTATATTAATTTAATTAAAGTCAATTAAAATTTACAAATAGAGCTTTTTGAATATAGACCATTGCAAAATTTTTAAATTTGTTTAACCCTTTATAGTGGAAGTGTCCCTACTTTAGTATATTACTCCGTCTGGTGCCAGACAATTTTACTCAAGGGCAGAATGTAGACTTGCCACAAGTCGACCTCGAACGAAACGTCGGCTCACACTCGCTGCTTGCGTTTCGTTCGAGGTCGACTTGTGGCAAGTCTAGGCTGAATGCTGCCACTCAATGAGTTAATATATTCTCAGAACAGTTACCATCAAATTTAATCTATTTTGCTGGCAAAATTGCCTTGGAGGGGGTCCTTGATTTGTTGAGTCTTTTTTTTTTGGCAGAATAGCAACTGGTTTCAGAATAGGAAGAATTGTTGTAATATAGGTAATATAATTCTAAGACAAATCATCCAAAGGAAGCAATCATTCTAGC